GTCATAAGAGTAGACAATGACCTACAGAATACAGAATATTCTGCAGGAGAGAGAATATTCACAAACCATACATCTGCTAAGGGAATGATGTTCAAACAGAAATAAGGAACACATAAAAAAACACAGATAAAACTAAAATTAGACTAATTAGAAAGTAGTCAAAGGACTTGAAAAGACATTTCTCAACCCAAGAGATATGAACAGCCGACAGGTATACAATAAAAAAAATTCATTGTCACCAATCAACGTGTATATGCCAACCGAAGCCACATGAGATGTCAGCCCACACCTATTATGGGTTACTAACAACAACGACAGAAAGTTACAACAATAACATGTGCTGCCAAGGTACAGACAGATGAATGAACCCTTGCACCCTGTTGGAAGAAGAATGGCCCAGAACCATGGAACAGTATGGAGGATTCTCAAATGGAACAAACAGAACTGCCATATGGTCCACAAATGCTGGAAATACTTCTGCAAAAAACTGAAATCTGGATTTTGAAGAGACATTATCACTTGTGTGTTCGTTTTTGTATTATTCATGGCAGATAAGATGTGGAAACTACTTCAAAGGGCCATAATGTGGAGCAGAGCCAGACCTGGTGGGGGCGCCTGTAATCACTATTAACGGGGAAGGTGAGGCAGGATGATTACCGTCCGAGGTCTACCGGGGTTTCAGGACACATTTAAGCTTACTTTGGGCAGCTTCAATAGCTCTGTCTTAAAACACAAAGTAAAAGGAAGACTGGGGTATAAGTCAGTGTAGAGCACTTGTTAGCATGTGTCCAAGACCTAGTAGCACCATCCCGAGGAGTATATATGTATGACAAAGTAGTCTGAAGTCCCAACAGAGCTGTTCATTTTGTAACAACCTTGAGTACATCAACCTGGAGCACACATACTAAGTGAACCAATCCAGATACAAAATGACAAGCACTCAAGAGTATTCAGATTCAGAAAACAGAAGGCTGGACTGGTGTTGCCAAGGCATGAGAGGATGGAGAGATTCCTAATGGGCACAAGCTTTGGGTTAAGTGATGGCAATAACTTCTGGATAGCTGCTCTGCAACACTTTATCTGTCAGCAACAATATCGTATTATACAATTAAAGTTTTGTTTTGTTTTGTTTTTGTTTTTTGAGACTGGGTTTCTCTGTGTAACAGCCCTAGCTGTCCTGGAACTAGCTCTTGTAGACCAGGCTGGCCTGGAACTCATAAAGACCTGACTACCTCTGCCTTCTGAGTGCTGGGATTAAAGGCATGTGCCACCACCACCCGGCTTTACAATTAAAATTTAAGAGTATAGATAGATCTCTGTTTTATTTTTTAGCACAATAAAATTAAAATCCACTAAAAATTTTTAAGTCTGGGATCGACTGAGTTAGTTCTTTGGTAAAATGCTTGCCAAATAAGTATTTAGAACCTGAGTCTAGATTCCGAGCATTCACATAACAAGTCCTACACGGTGACACATACCTTTAGTCCCAGCATCTGCATGGTGGATATAGGGGGATCCTGAAAACTCACTGGCAAACCATTTTGGTGAGTTCCAGGTTCAAGGAGAGAGTCTGACTCAAAAAGTAAGGTGGAAAGTGATGGAGAGAAACATCTAGCCTTGACCTCTGACCTCTGACTGCCGTGTGCATGTGTGCCGCATACATGTGCACACACATCAACACATCCACACATACGTACCACTTTAAAAGTTAATATATAGAAAAATTCTTGATTAAAAATATGATTATAACTTCAGTTAACACAGATTTCCCCAATATGACTATAAAATATGGTTAAATATTAGCGGGTTGTTTTAAAAGGAGAAGAATTTGAACAGAAAGGGATCACCTCCTATAACTAGTCAGGTCTTGTTTTTCAAGCGGAGTGTGTTCTAGTTCAAGGCCACATTTATATTTAAGTACAGCTCATTTTCAGTTATTCGGCAGGAGTCTCTCTTGATTCGCAGAGCATCCAGGCTCTCCTCATACTCCTCTTGGCTTCTGAAGGATTCCCATCTCCCTGGAAGGCTTCCTTTTTGTTTTTTTGGATTCTGTCTTTCCCTTGCCCTTTAATAGGGAAGTAAATGCAGGCATGATTAGATGCAGCTGTTTGTAATTAACCCCTTCAGCTGTGTTCCAGATGTATGACTCAATATGACTGGGCCAGCTGATGGTTTCTAAGGAGTCATACATATTTACAACATACCAATATGTTTAACAAAGTTAACCCCTCTTTCCTCAGTCCCGCAAGGCAGAGCCAATGCTTCTGTACTGCTCAGAGACTCCGGGCAGGTGACTCATCAAGTCAGAATGTCACTGCAATGAGCTGAGCCCTAACAATGGGAATTTAGGACACTCTTTGGTTTGCCTTTTGAATATGAGTCAGCAATCACCACACAAGACAGAAATGAGTGCCCACGGACCAGAGTGGGACATTTGGAAAAGGCTACACATACATGGGCTGCATTCCGAGGCTGAGGGACATCCAGTGTTAGATGGCAGATGTGATAGGTTGATGCGGTACACACAGACAACCGCAGCTCCTGGGAAGGCTGAGGCAGGTAGATCACAGGTTCGATGCCCACCTGAGCAACTTAGAGACCCTGTCTCATAATAAATGAAAATAAAAGGCAGTGGTATAGCTCACTGGTCCAGTATCTCCTGAAGGGAAAGGATTTGAGGGAAAAGAGCACAGCAGTCCAGCTGTGGAAAGCTGGAGCAGGGGCCAGCGGGGAAAGAATGCCAAGGAAAGTGAAGTCGTGAAATAAAATAGAAGCGGAGAGAAAGTTCAGGGATAAAGATAGAACTTGCCCAGACCTCTCCTCCCTCTCCTGCCCCTCCCCCTCCTCCTCCCCTCTCTCGTACTATGTAAGCATTTCTCTTTCCAGCTTCAAAGAGCGTAGATTGTTAGGTAGGAAGAAATAAGAGGAAAAGTGGGATCAAAATCAAGTCTTTCCCCTCAAGCAGGGAGGCCGACACCGCCAGCTATGCTCCAGTGATTGGCTACTTCTCGGTGCTGTAAATGACATTTCTACGACTTCCAAGCATACCTGGCCTGGGCCTGGGAGTTGTTCTTTATTTACTGATTCTGCAAACAGTTACCAAGTAGATGTAAAAAGTACACGTACCCAGATTGAAGAGATGGCTCAGAGGTTAAGGGTGCTTGCCAATTTTATACTCAGACTTTGGTTCCCAGCACCCACGGGGGTGACTCACAACTGCCTGTAACTCAGCTCTTAGAGGATCTAATACCCTTCTTCGGCCTCCACAGTCACCAAACCACATGCAGATAAAGCTTTTTTTTTTTAAACGGCACAAGTATGAAATAGACATACTCCCTGCCTTCAGAGACCTTATATGATCTTGTTAAGACTTGAAAGAAGTTTCTAAACATCTCACAATGCAAAACCTTTGGGCATCAAATGCCACAAAGTCTAAGGGAGAGGAGATGAGGAGCAGTTCTTTAAGCTGCTCTAAGCCAGGGATAAGCAGTAAGAAATTCAGAAAATTGATACATGAGTTTTTGGTGTGATCCAGTTTTTGAAACAGGTTTTCCTGGTACTCCAGGCTGGCCCGCAACTGGCGGGATGCCTTGTCTAGTCTCAAAGCCTCCCAAGAGCTGAGGCTATAGGTATCAGTCAAATATTTCTCCTATCAGAAAATGGTCTAACTAGAAGGTCATTTTAAAACAGAGTCATGAGTCACCATGGGGAATGAGGCATACCAAGTGAAAATAAGATTAACATATCAATTATGTGAAGGAAAGGGACTCTTTGAGCTGACGGCAATAGGCCAGACCCAAAAAGAGGAACATGGGATGTACTCACTCATATTTGGTTTCCAGCCATAAATAAAGGACATTGAGCTTATAATTCATGTTCCTAGAGAAGCTAAATAAGAAGGTGAATCCAAAGACAAACACATAGGCATCCTCATAAATATTAGCCTTCATCAGGCGATGAAAGGAGACAGAGACAGAGACCCACATGGGAGCACCGGACAGAAATCTCAAGGTCCAAATCAGGAGCAGAAGGAGACGGAGCACGAGCAAGGAACTCAGGACCACGAGGGGTGCACCCACACACTAAGACAATGGGGATGTTCTATTGGGATCTCACCAAGGCCAGCTGGCCTAGGTCTGAAAAAGCATGGGATAAATCCGGACTAGCTGAACATAGCGGACAATGAGGAATACTGAGAATTCAAGAACAATTGCAGTGGGTTTTTTATCCTACTGCACGTACTGGTTTTGTGGGAGCCTAGGCAGTTTGGATGCTCACCTTACGAGACCTGGATGGAGGTGGGCAGTCCTTGGGCTTCCCACAGGTCAGGGAACCCTGATTGCTCTTGGAGCAGATGAGGGAGGGGGACTTGATCGGGGGAGGGGGAGGGAAATGGGAAGCGGTTGTGGGGACGAGGCAGAAATCCTTAATAAATAAATAAATTTAAATAAATAAAAAAATAGTACAGGGAATTATTGTTGCTGCAATGTCTGGGTGACTGCGTCATCCTGCAAGCTTGTATAGGAGATATTAGCAATGAAGAAAGGTCTAGGCAAGGTAGGATAGCTGGCCATAAATGGAATAATAGTAACATTAACAACAGCAGCAGTAATAACAATAATAAGCAGGGAACCTTAAGGAGGGGTATCCCATACCATTCCCCATAGCCAGCTTGGGTTTCTTTTGTCTCTCTGAAGGAAAGATTCTGTACCAAACGCCTATCTTAGGTTCTGCTGCGTCCGGGGAGGCCAATATCACCCAGGACAGTAAAAGTGGGTAAGGAGGGTACAGACTGGCCTTCCATCACCATTTGCATCACAATGAGATGGTTTTGTTGCTGCTGTCTTGTTTTTGTGACTGGAGAGTTCCCAGGGAATCCTGGATTATGCTTCTGTCTTAGCTAGGATTTTTATTGCTGTGAAGAAACACCATGACCATGGCAACTTTTGTTTTTTAATGGTGAAAAAGTATATATTTAGAATTAGCCAGCTGGACTCAGTTTAGATGGTCCCAATTTTGCTGGCAACATCCGGAGCATCATAATCAGGAGCCAACGGAACATACACCTTCTTCTCTCTGTCAGGCCTTATGAGGGTGTTGACTTTGGCCACATCACTGTCATAGAGTTTCTTCATAGCCCATTTGATCTGAGGCTTGCCGGCCTTGACGTTCACAGCCAGGGCAAGTGTGTTGTCTTCTGTCTTCTTCAGACTCAGGGGTCTGGTGAAATTTGACGACGGCGTCGCGGTCAAGCTTATCCTGGGTGTGCTCTTTTGAGGGTATTTGGGCTGCGTCTGGACCCGCAGAAGATGGGCAGCCAAAGGTGGGTGATGCTCCGATCTTCTTCTTTTGAGGCTGCGGGCACCTTTGAGCATTACCTTCTTTGTTTTCAAGGTCTTTGCTTTGGCTTTGGAGAGACACGCGGTTCCTTCTTCACGTTCAGCACAATCTTGGTGAAAAGGTTGACCACGGAAACTCTTACGTAGGAAACATTTCATTGTGGTGGCTCACTTACAGTTCAGAGGTTCAGTTCATTATAGCCGGGGAGCTAGGCCACATGCAGGCAGGCATCGTGCTGGAGAAAAAGCAGAGCAGCCTACATCTTTCAGGCAACAGAAAGTCAACTGGCTGTGACATGGTATGAGGTTTGAGGAAAAGACCCCAAAGCCCGCCCTACAGTGACACTTCCAATAGGTGTGACCCAGGTTAAAGGTGTGCCCCAGGCTAAAGGTGTGCCCCAGAAAGGCTTGTGTCAGCCAGCCTCCTCCAACAAGATCACACTTCCTCCAACAAGGCCACACCTCGTAGTCTCATTCCCTATGAGTTTATGGTGGCCAAAGACATTCAAGGTACCCCACCCTGTTAGGTGCACACGCCCACCTGTGAACCCGTGATGGTGAGTACAAGGACCTGGGGCTCTGAGTTCAGGTTGGTCCATGTGCGTGGAGCTAACAACAACCGGCAGAGGAGTGGGGTGAATTTGGGGCACTCTTACCTGATGCCACTCATTCTGTTTGGGAGATCTCAGGGCCCAGCCGAGTGTATGGAGTTTGTGCCTGGGTCACGGGGCTGGTCCACAGCCTACAGAGAAAGCAGCATGGAGGAAGGACAAATGGAGCCAGCAGGAAATGACTAGGCCCAGGGAACCCCATTGATTGAAGTTCTAGCTAGGGCTTTTTGGCATTGTCGTTCTAAGAGACCTTGCGGAAGAATAGCAGAATCCAGAGTAGATATTATATAAGCCAAAATATAACTAGCCTACCTTAGATCTTCATACTGGCCCACTTCTTAAATCCCTTCACTGGAGTCACATCAAACTGTGTTTGTTTATTATGTGCACTTAGGCTCCAGCAAACACATGGAGATTAGAGGATAGCTCACACTAACAGTTCCTGCCCACCAACTATGTGGGGTGGGAGAATTGAACTCATGTCGTGAGGCTCAGGCCAAGTCTTTTTACTTGCTGAACCTTGTCAAGGTCCCACTTCAAACTTTCAGGGAAAGGCATGTAACTCTTTCTGCAAGATGATGCAAAGAAGTCACCTGACCTTTGACGGTAAAGCGCAGTGCTTCTTCCTCAGTCACAGAATGGGAAGCTGGGAGGCGCCTCTGCCCATTGCTTACAGTTGCAGATGCACAGCTCCATGTAGGACAAAGGCAGTTGAGCCTCCTATTCTTGACATTTTGTGATGTCACAGTCAGCTAAATACTTCTAAGAGAAAATGGATCAAATAGGCCACTTCAGGAAGGTACCATGGTAAAGAGCCGGTTTGGTTAAAGTAGGGTTAATTGTGGACGCCTATGATTACCGCTAAGAATGCTGAAAAGAAGAAAAAAAAATCAATGCAGATTCACTTAGCTGATTAAACCAAACCTGTGCTTGATTTTATTGTTGTTTACTCCTTCATGGAATTTCTTTCATTCATCCCAGATTCCCAAAACTCAATCTTTTCCTTCTTTTTTTTTAAATTTCAAATGATCCCATAGATCAAGGACCACTAGGATTAAATGTGAGTAGATAGAGAGACAGTCACTGTCATTGATAATCAAGAGGCCCTGTCGAAACAGCTAAATGTCTAAGTAGGAAACTGTCACAACAGTATAAAGCAAGCGGGGAGAAGTCCCACTAGGGGAGTAGATCAAATAAAACAGAAGAGTATTTTATCCGAGCCTATTAAAATAGACAATTAAAAACAATACCATCGTCCCCGCAGGGAACCCGGGCTGCATTGACTCGCTTACACATGCAGAACATGGTGCTCCTTTGGCACCTTGCAGACAGGCCCTGCCCAGGCTTCTGCTGCACAGTTTCAGCATCACTAAGTGCATCAGCTCAGGTCAAAGGATGTGTGGGCTAGGGGACCACGCTATGCAGTGCCTGGGTCTGGCAGGAAAGTTTCGCATAGTTCAAGTGGTAATTTTTACAACTGTAATACGAAAAAGAGATTTCAAGGGAGAATAGTCATTGAACAACTGTTGCCCTAAAAGGTGAAGTAAGGTTTGAAACCCTGAAGGATATTGCCAGATAATGGCAGTATCAGTGCGGTGGTATCACTCCTACTAGGAGGGTGAAGGCAAGAGTTAGGTGTGCAGGACTCAGCAGAGCCTCCATTGAGCAAATGCTCGACTGGGCCTAGCCCTGCCCTAGGCATAGGAAAGCAGGGCCTGGCACAGAGGGAGAAGGGTGCTCTTATTTAGCATACGTTCTGGTAGGAAATGTTCAAATTGCACTTATTTATTTTGTTGCTGCCTCTCTTGGCAAGAGTCCTCTTACACTGGAGCAAGAAAGACCCTGTTGCTGGCTCTCATATTTCCTAAACACGTGTGCACACAAATAATCAATAGATCCAGACAGTCAGGAGTGGACCTGGTGGGTAGCTTGCTGATAGAGCACTTGCTCAGAATGCTCAAGGCCTTGAGTTTGCTCTCCAGCGCTGGCAGAAAAGGGGGGGGGGGGAGAGGAAAAGGGAAGGAAGGAAGGAAGGAAGGAAGGAAGAAAGAAAACCAAAGAAAAACTTAGTTTATGTGACTGGGAACCCAGTTCTCCCACCTGCTCTGAAACCATTATTGTGGTCTCCTACTGGGGAACAATTCTGGTCAGCCCCAAGGGCAGACTTCTCAGAATCTCTACTCCTCCTCTCTGAAACAAAAGCTGCTTATGTCACAAAACCACCAATGGTTGCTGTACCACTGTGACTTCCCAGAGGGGTTCCGATTGAGAGATGGGTGTGGTGAACGTGTTAAGGAGGAAAGATAATCAACTAAGCAGCCCAAGGCCGAGCTAGCAAATACAATGCTTCGCTACATAGAAAGTGTTCTATCCTTGTTGCCAGTCTTCTCAGCTAGTCTGTTCCCATTGAATTCTGGGGATAATCAACAGGTGTGTGGAGAAGTCTACAAATGTAACCTGTGGGAAAGACTGCAAATACAGGATTTACAATAACTGAGCAGAACAGCTGGAAAAAGTTCTGCAAAATTAATTACTCTGACAATTCGGTACCAATAAGGCCTAGCTGTCACACATGTGAAATAAGGTACTATTACTTGGCCAACCAAATTGCCATTGAATTCCATTGTTTTATGACCTTTTCCTGGAGAGTCTTGAACAAATATTTGTCCCCCTGACAGGGCGCCAATGACAGACCACTGATTTTGTCCAAGTTCACCTTGGTGACCAGTGAGTTTACTGAGCTTTCACACAGAGCATGGATGAAGAGAGACTTGTAGGGGTGTGGGTGACCTGGAAACAGCCACGTCACTGAAGAGAGTCTTCCCTTTGGTTAGCCCCCTATTCTCCATTTATACTAGCAGCTCTTAAAACTACATCCAGCGGTGCCAGCCTTGCATGTGACCAGCAGTGCAGATGGAGTCTCAGGGACTGGCTGGAATGTCAGGTGAGGGTGCCCTCCTTCTCTGAGCTGATGGAGTCTCAGGAGGGACTGGCCGGAACGTCAGGTGAGGGTGCCCTCCTTCTGTGAGTGGGTGTCCCCAGTCCTGGATCTGAATGTCGCTTTCCAGTAATCACAGCTGGGCTGATTAATATAGTTATGGTTGTCAGTTCAGGGGGAGAGCAACTAAGAGAGCAAAGACAGAAACAGCTATTGTTTGACCATGCATTTACAATGAAAATGTTAACTTCCATCTTCAGGCGGAATTTACAACTTCATTATGTAGACATCTGTGATATAAATCTTCATATATCCCCTTGCTCCAGCTCCTACAAACAAGAGGAGTGACCTGCTTCTTCCCCACACACTCACGAATGTAACCTACTCACTAAGAAAAAGAAGAAATAACTGGTGTTTCTGAAGTTTTAAATATGACCGTAGTCAAAATAAAGGAGACCCGGCGAGAGCACATCTGCTGAACTAATTAAATTAAATGCTTCACCTGGACCTTCACAGGCCCACTTTAGTCGGCATTATGGTTAACTCTCCCTTTCTCAACGGCATCAGATGCATGGTGTCTGGAAGTTTCCTATCTACACCTTCAGGGCTTATCCTACACAATGTTCTTTAATCTCCAGACTCTCCCCTTAAAGGCTCTTCTTTGTAACCAGCTGGTGAGCCAGCTTCCAACTTCTTCTGGCTCATACATTGCCGTATTCTTCTCAAGTTCTTAACAAGCAAAAGGTTGACTGACAAGTAAGCTTAAAGCCTTGGTTGGCATCGCACCGCAGGAACACAAAGCATGTGCTCTCACCACATTCTAAATAGTGCGTCCTCAGGAACATTACCTGAAGATTCAGGCTCCATTCCGTGGCTACAGAAAGAGGCTCACTGTCACACAGATGTGCCGTTACAAGCCAGAGAGTGCGATTCACTAAAGACCCTGTTAGTAAGAAAATCTCAACAGCTGGTATTATGGAGAACATTAAGAACGCTTATTGCAGAAATAATCCCAGATCAACTGTGAAGAGCGCGAAGCTGAATCTCACTAGGGCAGTTCCACGCCTTCTCCTCATCGCATCCAGAAATGAATGAATCTGAAAATTTTGCAGATGATTTATGATTTCCCTTATATCTGGAAAGGGAATATGAATGAATAAAAAGATGAGCCCAGGAGGCCGTGTGCATCAGCGAGAACATGACAGATGAAAGGCAATTAAGAGAACAAACACCATTGTACTCACGCAACTCGACCTTACACACTGCTCTGAAGGAGACCAGACACTCGTTGTCTCGTGGATGGTGATTTTTCTATAATTCACCAAATAGCACCTAAGCAGTATAGCAAGCAAACAACGAAGTTGTGTGTTTGGCTTAAGTGACACCTTTTTAAAAGAGCCAGCCTCTTTTATTCAGATCCCCAGGGAGCTCTGGGTTAATGGTCACAAATGACTGGGCCAGGGCCAAACCCTTCGATCCAAACTAGATCTATCTTTATTTTCCCAGACATCTGGAACTATGAATAAGATAGAATAAACTGAAGAACTTTGGGGTGAGCCTCTTCTACCATGAACCCACAAAACCAGGCAGCATTGACCAAATGACGCAGG